CCGACCATCTCAGACATGAATCCAAGAACTTCATCCAACTTAGTAAATGGATTCAAGTGGCATTTGGAAGTCAAGCTCACAAAGTCCCTACCCTGAAATCACACACTTGAGATAGATGAGAGGCTCCGCAGACAAGTTTCTTGGTCCACAACTGATTAAAGGTGTGATAATACAATACAATAAGGAAAAGCATGAAAGGAGAATAGGAAAGAAGGGGAGGGTGCATCAATAGAGCTACCTGGAAGAAAGAGACGAGGCAGGAAAACCACGAGAAACAGACAGAAGAATTTAAGTGAACTTAAATGGTAGATCTCTAGAGGGTTAGTCAGCAATACAACCTCAAATAGCCCTCCTGAGGACACCCCAGTACCACAGTTAATCTATCAATGCTGCACTGCTACTAAAAATGACAGGACAATCATAGCCACCCCTGTGTGAGGCCTCCCCTGTTCAGGTCACCTTGATGGACACTTCATGTGCATTAGCACATAGTACACACACAGTGATGATCACAACGGTGACCCTGAATCATAAAGACGGCTAAGTGATGTTAGCATACTCCTCCTCTTTCCTAAAAGTGGGATACTATAAACATACAGAAATGTGTTTTAGGAGATTTCCTTCCAAAATCATTGTTTTTTCAATTTAAAATTATTTTTAAATTAAATTAGTAAGAGTAAGTTGGATCAGTTGCTTCACCAGCAATGCCTAATATTTTAGGCATCGCTGGACCTCAAGTTACATGAAAACTGAGACAGGTATGTGTGTGAGGTCATGGAGGGCACGGGGTAATTTCTTGGTTTTATTTTGTTTGTTTGATGGTTGTTTTGGGTTGTTGTCTTTGTGTTTGGGTTTTTTTGCTGCTGTTGGTTTTTAAGAAAGTGAATGGAAAGGCAAAGTTTACATCTGATTCCCAACTGTGTTTCATCAGACCTATAGGACACATTTATATGTATAATTGTAAAAACGTAACATAACATCTCAAAGTCTTAAATAGGAGTCTTTTTAAAGGGCTGAAAGACTTAACAGCAGAAAATTGTGTATCTCCATTAATGTGGAATATTATTGAGTATGATGAAGGTCTTTGGCAATGCCAACCCACAATTTATATATGTATATATATATATATATATATATATATATGGCAATACCAGATGAGTGAGCTTGCATCTTTTTTTTTCCTTTGATCCTTCTTTGGCCCTACTGTGTTTTGGTGCTTCTTCTCTGGTTCTCTGTGTACCTTTGTATGTGCTTCATATGTTGGCACCTATATTTGTTTATATGTCCATTTGACCTGGTGTGCATTGTGTGTGTGTGTGTGTGTGTGTGTGTGTGTGTATTTTTCTTGGTGCCTCAGTTTTTTAATTAGCCTTTTCTCTTTGATGTTTCATGTTTCTTTCTTTTCTTTAATTTTCTTTTTACATTTTTCCACTTTAAACTTTTCTATCACATTCTCTCTCTCAAGTATATTATAAAATTTAATTATATCCTTCATTATGCCTTGTACATTTTCATAGAAACATACATTCATGCATTTATATTAAATAGAGGCTAAACTTTATTTTTAAAATATTTCTTATCTGACGGGATGAAAGAGTTTTTTCTCACTTGATTCTGGCTAATAATTTCTATGATTCATGGCTCTTGATTTATTAAAATAAAATAATTTCATGGCCCATCATGAAATCTTTAGGTATTCTAAAGATTCCAATCAAAGGATATATAAAATAAAAATGTGTAAAAGGAAGATAAAAATGATAGGTAGAAAATTATCATTTGAGTCTCCAAATTCACCACAAAACATATTTGTATTTCACCTACTTCTCATATAGACACAGAAATTTACAGCAATAAAATACAAGTTAATCACTTCTTACACGCCTTATGTCCTCTATCTCTCTGCACAAGTTTAAAAAATATATAATAACCAATTCAAATAAGTTTATTATCATTAGTATACTCATATACAGTTAAACAACATAATAATGTCACATCAACTAGGAAAAACATGCTTCTTAGAACAATTAATACGGAGGTTGTATTTAGAAAATGGTGAAGCAAAATGAAATTGATTCATGGTCTACCACTATTGTCTTGTTTTATCTCTTTCCTATTTTGCAATCCCCATCAATAAGTATAAGCCTTTAAGATATGAAATTATTAAATTAAGTGTATCTTTTATAGATTATTAAAAATAAAAGTTGAAGGGATAAATTTTATTTGACATAGGTTTTTTCAATTAAAGTGGAAATATTATATTTGCTTTGAATTGAATACCAGAAAACTCGAAAAATTGACATTTCCAGTAAACCTAGAGGGGTAGGGAGCACAGAAATACCAGTCTTACTTTTATCTCTGAAATGTAAAAAAAAATGCCAAATGTGACTCAGGGGTCATGAATGTTATACTATTTCATATCACTTATTTTGTCCCTTTGTTATCAGCAGGTATCTACGAATCCTATCTGTCAAGAGTGAAGGGGATAGTTGTATCACTGAGTGTACTGCAGCAGTAATTGTAGGTTAACTTTCAATTATCAACGATTTTGGATCTACATTTTGGATTACAGGAAGATTCTGAGAGCCCCTATGATTTTGTCAACATCAGATAGTGTTTTTCTATTTTCTTCCAGAGTCAAAAGTAAATGGCATTGGATTATTCATTAGAAACACGATGTACATTTTTCCTCCCTTCCATTTGTGTAAAGTAAAATATTGGAATTCATGTAACCCAGGGCATGACCTTCCTCTGAAGGGTTGATACACAGTTAATAGCACATGGGAAGGAATTTAATCCTTGGATCCCTAAAAAGCTATAAAGAGCCTAGATCACTTCTCCATGTACAAGCTTGGTTTTAGAAGCACACAAAGCTCATTTTGGAGTCGAATGGAGAAGTCTGTGACATATAGCACATAGACTGATTCTAACAGATGGATTTTTCTTGAAATAACTTCATTAGTTAATCACTTTTTTTTACATATACTTTTTCTAGCTAACTGGTATAGCTGCCAGCTGGAGCTGCTAAGAATCCTCCAAAGAAACTGGTAGGTAGGGAGAATATAGGCTAATTTCACCAATTCTTGGATGAAACTTCTACTAATTTCATACTAACCATCACGTATTTTGAGAGTAAAATCTTTTCCTTTATTTTTTTTCAACTTTTTCCAAAAACCTTACTTATCTGTGTTTAAACCAAATCAATCATATGGAAAAAACTTTCAATTTTAATAAATTGTCTAGATCAGAGTTTCCCATACTTGACATTATTGACATTGTGGATGAGATAATCCTTTTTTTTTCTGTTCTTTGCTTTTGTTTTTTTAAAATTTTTGTAGCAGGTTGTCCTGTGCATTGTAGGCTGTTGAGGAGCATCCCTGGTCTCTACCCACTTGATGTCAGTAGCATCCCCAGCTGTGACAACCAAAGATGTCTCCAGACATTGCTGAATGTCCCTGGGGGCAAAATCACCCCAGCTGAGAACCACCACTCTAGAAATAGGAGGTTCCTAGTTTTAATTCAATTTTTAAAATAATTTTAAAAATATTTTAGTGTATTCATGTATGTATTTAATTCGAGATATGTCTAAAATATGAGAAGGTTTTGCCTTTCAGTCAGGTAAATGAAATATTTTTATTGGGGAGGGAGGCAGTAGAATTATTTAAGTGGTTAATGCTTTCATAAATCTCTCTGGTTAAGGAGAAAAAAAGACAAGATAAATGGCTTTTAACCACCAATGAATATTAATTATCTAAGGAGTGTCATCATCATCTTCATCAGACATGTTGAAGAGTTCTTTTCCTTTAAAGAAGGTCCTCAATGTAACTGCATGAGTAGAATAATAAAATCCTGTGGTGGGATCATTTGAGATGTAAGTGATTAATTTTCAGCTTAGATGCCCTAAGGCATTATTAAATAAAGGAAAGCAGTGTAATTTAATGAAATGAACATTGAGAAAACTGGGATCTGTTTTGACTTTACAATATCATTAGGCAGTGATTTGGGGCTCACAAAAGGATTAGCCATTCAGATAGAGACGTTCCCTGGCCTTTGAAATTCCCCTCCTACTTATGACTTAGTGATCTTTCTGTAATTTATATATTGATGGATATAGGAAGAGTACCATGGGAATAAGGTGCTAATTACCAAGGGTTTTAAAAGGGAAATAGTGAGCCTATTCTAGTTTAGCAGGAAAGTAAGAATGCAACATGAAGTATGTGGAAAGAATCATTCATTGTTTTTTAAAAAAGTAATGATTCTATTCGAATTGCTTTCTTTGCAGCAAAGGCTTTCTAACACAGATTTGCTCAAGCAGGCTTTTAATACAAGATAATTTTAACACTTAACCAATTCCATGTTTGAATGTATAACTCCCCCCCCCAAATCGAGACATGTACCTAAAAATTTTATAGTGATGTTTTCTTTGTTAGATTTCCCAGAGGCCCTGAAGAATTTAGATCTTATACTTTATTTTAAATTTAAAACTGATTCTTTTTAATATGTTATATTGTGCAGACCATCACTTTTAGTTCTCTCAGAATGCATTATCTCCTTTTTTGTTTTTTTTTTTTGCTGTCTTAAAAGTATGACACAAATTTATTACTTTACAATTCTAGAAGGCAGAAGTCTGAAACGGGTTTCACTTGCCTAGAATGAAGCCTGTAGGCCGGGCTGCCATTCCTTCTGAAGGCTCTAGTGGAGCATCTGTTCCCTTGACTATTCAATCTTCTAGAGGTTTCCTGATTTCTTGGCTCATGGCCCCCTCCGCCAGCTTCAAAACCCAGAGGGGCAGCATCTTCATCTCTCTGACTCAGACTGCCCTGCCTCTGTCTTTCACTTTTAAGGACCCATGAGAACGCACTGTTTCCTTGGATATGGCAAAAGCAAAATCACACATCTTGAGATTTCAACTCAAAGGACCAAATATCACTACTACGTGCCTTATCTGTACATCATGGGGTTCACTGCCCTTAAGTCACAAACGAAAGCATCTGTGCACTTACTTTCTGCAGGTTCTTTAGGGCGGCGGCCGCTGGACGACTTCCTCAGCAGGCTGCGTCCCGAGGTAAAGAGGCTGGTTAGTTCCTCCAAAGGACTCGTGGGTGTTCTGGACCGGGAACCGCTCGGAGCCGACCCATAGGTATTGACTGAGGCATTGACCAGCTTGCTCCCATCTTGCGACACCGGTCTGGGGGTCAAATGAGGCACTGATGGAGAGCTCCTGGAGAGGCTGCCTGAATGCACGGCGTCGTAGGGCGGGGGCCTTTTGAGGCTAAGTGGGGTCAGGGACCTGCCCATGCTGACGGGTGACGGAGAGGCGGAGTGACTTTTGGGGTAGCCGTGGGGAGACTGCGTTCTGTATAGAGTGGAAGGCGGGGGAGGGGACGAGGAGAGAACCGAGGCAGCAGGAACGGGTCCCAGGGCTCCGACCTGGTCTTTCTCCAGTTTAGGGTGGCCGGAAGCCTGGGACGGCAAGGAGGATGGTGACGCCCCGGCCTGCTGTTTCATATAAGACACGTTTTCCAACACAGGAAGCTTTGTGACCTCCAGGGGGGTGAGCGGAGACTCATCAGAGTTGGGGGAGCACTGCACAGGGGCCGGGGGGAACACCAGCAGCGGGGGTCTATGAGAAAGCAGGTTGGGAAAGGGTGGAGGGATGTCACAGAGCAAACCCTTTGGGGTACATGGCACTGAGGACTTGGCCGAGTCCAAGTCAGGCACCGTGGGAGTAGCACACTGCGAAGAACAACTGTGATGGTCAAGGTCACACTTTGAGTCTTGGCCTAAGTCGTCAAAAATGGGATATTTCATTTCTTCGTAGACGGCCTCACTCTGGTCGTCGTCGTCTTTCCGGAAGTCTCTGAGAATGTTCCCCACCATCTCAATGTACACGGGTTCCTCCTCCTCGGGGCCCCCTGAGGGGCTGCTGACCTGGGAGAGGGAGGGGTCCCGAGGGAGTGAGGTCCTCCGGGGCACGTGCTTCTTGACATACGTTTCGTCAAAAGATGTGCTGAGCTGAGTGTTTGGATTCCGTTTTGGTTTTGGAGGAGGAATCTTCTTTGAATATTCATCACTGTGGGGTCTTGGCTTGGCTGACACTAAAAGAAGGAGAAAAAAGAAAACAAAACAGATGAGTACAATAGGAAAGCTTTCGAATATGACTTTCAGGTGGATTCACTGCTCTAAACACTTGAGGGGAGGGGTAATGATGCGTTTCAAGCTGGAGACGTAGACTACAAGTCCAACGAAAGTCAAACATTTCCATATTTAGAAAAATATGATGCAAGAACAGTAGTAATATGTATCTTCAAACTAATATAAATAATCCAACACAGATAAATGCATTAAGACCAGGACTTACTCATCCCTCTGTCTTAGAATTCCTAAATAGAAACTTCAGATGACACAATTGGATAAAAACAATCACACATTTCATAAAAATCAACTTCTAAGAATTCAGCAACAAAGAAACTTAGGGGAAAAAATCTAGAGTTTCTATTGGTACAAATGGTTACAAAAATACCATGGGGACTGAGCCCTTTAAATGATGTGGCTATTACACATAATCACATCTTGCGTTTATTTGGGGTAAAAATGTTCCAAGCTGCTAGACTTAATCTCTGTCTTGGTTCAGATAAATAACTTTTATACAGATGGGTCTGATTCTTCGGGGGAAATTGATGTGAACATTTTATGAGGCTAGACAAGTTAATCTCCAAATCTCCAGGTATTGTTGATTATGGTGTATTTGTTTTAGTTCATAAAATCTCTTATGATATCCCCAATACTGTCTTGGAATGAATTTATTGCCCTGACACATCAGAACCCCCTAGAGAGTTTTACAAGAGAATAATCCAGAGAATGATGTGTAAGCTTCAAGAATAACTTCTGGAAACTCACAATAGCTATGCATACAAGTACACCCCACAGCCTATGGGAAGCCCCCCTTGTAATGGAACATAAACTTCTGACTCCATCTAGTAGGTTGGAACAGGCTGGCAACATGTCTGTGACTGCAATCAATTGTTTAGCATGCAGGGAAAGTACTGGAGTCTTGATATTATCTCATTGTGCTGATATATGATTACAATGATTATCATTTTTATGCAATGTGGCAGAATGTAGTTGCTTGTGGTAAGTGGTAGCATATGATGTAAGCTGACGGTATAGCTTACAGGTGTACACCTATGAGAAAAGAACAGGCTTCTCTATAATTTGCAGCTTGAAGGGAGGGGAGGTCTCAAGGCACAAACCAGGAAACACCCCAAATTTTCTGGGTTTTTTTTTCAACTAGCAAAACTTATGACATAGGAGCTTTTCTAAAACTTACTATAGGAGAAGCAAGTGCTTAAAGATTAGTTAAGTGACTGCTTTATGCATCAATCATGCCTTCAGAGAAAGAGAACCCATCAAATATTCTAGCACTGGCTGTATCTTTTGCTTCTCTAGGTCATTCCTG